AAAAAAAAAAAAGAAAAAAAAAGAAAAAAGAAAAAAAAAAGTAAAGTTAGCAAGTGAGTCTCCGGAGGCTAATATTTCACCTTTTAAAGAGTTCAAAAAAAAGAAGAAAAGAAAAAAAATGTATTTTCTTTTGCTCACTTTTATTACTACAGGCAAAGAACACGAGTGGCCCCATATTCCTCTACACGTCTAGAGTTCTGGGATACTAAGAGGCAATGCTTTTTCAACAGCCACAGGCTGACCATTCAATCGATAGAGCTATGCAGAGAGAAGTAGCTCAGCTCCCAATACAAAGAAAAATCAATCTTTTTTAAAAGTAGGCTCTACGCATGGGGCTCGAACTCAGGACCCCAGGATCAAGAGTCACATGTGCCACTGGCTGAGCCAGGCAGGTGCCCCGAAATACCAGTCCTCAAGTCTGCATCAGATTACCTCCAGGTATTCAGATAACAAAGACAACAAAGTTTTGAACTGACCTACCAATCATTAGTATTTCCTAGGGCTTTAATGCTATGCATAAAACGTAAGTTAACTAACTCTTTCCTAGACACACGTCAGTTGAAAATTAAAGCCCGTGTAACTATATGTCGTCCTTTTAAATAAAAACAAGTATTCTCATTAGCCTGTAGATTTTAGAAGCTGGATTAAACACCTGAATGAGTGCCATCTGAGTGAACATCAGGTCAGAAAACTAACAGCTTAGGAACAGTCTTAGCCACCCGAGTGTCCCCAGCTACACCTCACTCACCATGGCCCCCTGCTCCGGCCCCAGACCCACTCCTGTCATCAGACTCTGCTTTCATTCCAGTCACTGGAAAGGCTGGTGGAGGCATCAACTGCCTGTTAGGAGAAAAATGTGACAGCCCTTTAAGACAGATTCAATCCATCAGAACCTGTCCAGCAGACACGGAGCAGGTAACCATCCACTTCTACCCCTTCCGCCTGACCCCACCCTTCAAGCTACCATCAAGTTGTCAGATTGTAAGGCCTGTCTACACAGCCAGGCTGGGCCGGGCCAAAACAAGAATGCGCTGCTGGGAGAAGTTAGGCTCATCTAGTGAGGGCTCAAAGGATGGCACAGGAGAGTGCGAGCCCCGGGTGGCAGGCCGGACCTCCATTCAAGTACCTCAACCCATCAGGTTCTAGGATTCTGAGTAGCAAACTTGGCTTGTGTCAGACTCCTGTCCCTGCCTACGCTTAGGAAAACGGCCAAGATGCAGGCAGTGAAGGTAAAGGAAGATGCCTGAATGCACAAGCACTGAATTATTCAAAGTCGAGTACAGCGGCCCGGAGACTGGGAGGCGCGTCCTATTCTCCATTAGCGTATCCGTTACAAAGAACAGGAGCTTATTTGAGCCAAAGGATCTCGTTACAGTTTTAGAACACGGGAAGCCCGCAGCAATGACCATTCTCACTAGCGATGCAAACAGAGGACGTCTTAATACATTCATGTAATTCCGCTCCAACGAACTTACCTGTCCCTCTCTCGCTCTTTGCCTGAGGAACTTGCCGGCTTCGATCCTGCACCTTCAATGTCATTCTGACTGGAGAAGCCTGTACCTAAATTAGTCATATGAATGGGTCCATGCTATGAGCAGAAAAATACAGTGGCATTAGCAAATCTACAACTGCTGTACAGACTTTAGCTCCTTAACGTAACTGTCAAGTGCCTTGTCTTTCTGGTCAATTGCAGTAATCTGCACTACATAGCTCTCTGGGATTTGGGGCGTAACCACGGCCCAAACAGAGATCACTCTTCTCTACGGAGGACTTGCTCGGGGACATCGTGATTGATTATGCTACCTGCATCTGTTTTCAACTCTCCATCTAGAACTATAAAAATGCTTCAAAGCGTGTTTCAAAGAAGGCTTCAAGGACTCTGGCAAAAAGCGCAGGTGCTTCTCCTGATGAAACAAAACTGCACCAAAACTAAACATTTTAATAATATTTTTAAAAAACCTATACTCGAATGACTATAACTATGCACAGAATCACATTTTGGCCACCTTTTTCTGCGGGCGGTGGGGGACTGGAGGAAAAAAAATCACTCTTTCTTATGGAGAGACAGAATAGTAAATTGGGAGCTAAGGTTTAAATACAAACCACTATTGGGAGGTAGAATGATACCTTTTGGTGAGATGTGTAGGGAAGCGAGAACTATCTGAGGCTTTCAAGAGTGCTGTGTAAGAGGAAGTGCAGAAATCTACACGACTCGTTCCAGGTGCCAGTCATAAGAGACCTACACTTCTCTCTATGTGGAGTTCTGGATTTTATCATATTGACCCCAAAGACAAACCCACCCAAAGGGACTCATTCTTGCTTTCAGTTAATCCCCCAAGGAAAAACCCTAATCTAAATGGATTCCAGAAAACAGAAATCCTCGTTTTTGGGAACACAACTGGCATAGATGTGAATTTCTTTCTTTAAAGGAAAGATACAGTAGGGTATGGGGAGGAAAGTAATAGTATTTTATTTAACCTGGTATCCAAGAAGTCCAGACTCTCGTTCATCTGGTAGCTCCTCTGTGAATCGCCTCTTCTGTGCCTGGGGTTGAGCTGGGAGTGGGGGCTGGGGTGGGGGCGGGGGCTGGGGCTGGGGGCCCGCAGGCAAGGCAGTTTTGACAGGAGCAGCAGGAATAAAAGGCCCGCTCATCGGACTCTGGGACCAAAACAAACCAAGGGGAAAAATGGTGTGAGAATGCCCAGCCAGTTTAAGGACACAACAGTTACAATACATTTTAATGATGCACATGTATCCTAGAAATCCTGTATCTCTGGTCGCGAGTTTCCTTCCTGTATCATCTGGTGACAGTACAGCCTTCCTACCCTGACGGTAGGGAAATGCAAAACTGACGGATCTCTAAGGTGCTCTCAACTCTTAGGAAAAATCTGCTGTGCACTTGGGCGATTAGGAGCAAACGTGACCAACAAATAATACAAATTCTAGCCACTTACTTAGTTCAGAAGTTACAAGCCAAACATTCTCCAATTTAAGCTCCTCTAATCAACGCGATTAGCTCTTTCTGGATCATAAAGGCTGCCAACGCTCGTGGCAAAGGCAAGTCCATCTGCCACTTCCGTGGGTAAGTTGTCATAGCAACGGGGAGTCTAATGTTTTTTAATTTTTTTTTTTTAACGTTTATTTATTTTTGAGACAGAGAGAGACAGATCACGAACAGGGGAGGGGCAGAGAGAGAGGGAGACACAGAATCGGAAGCAGGCTGCAGGCTCTCACGGACCGTGAGATCATGACCCGGGCTGAAGTCGGACGGTTAACCGACTGAGCCACCCAGGCGCCCCGGGGAGTCTAATGTTTTAAGAGATTGTTCCAAAAAGGAATAAGGACTGACCCAGCACGCGTCAGAGAGATAAGACAAGTCTTATCAAATAGCCATTACTTGTTGAACACGTGGGTCACCTCAATTAACCTTTGCGACCTCTAAGATATTATCATTACGCCCATTTTCTTTTCTTTTTTTTTTTTTAAGGTAGGCTTCACACCCAGGGCAGTGCCCAACTCGGAGGTCTGAACTCCTGACCTGGGCCAAGATCGAGAGACACTCAACCAACTGAGCCACCCAGGCGTCCCACGCCCATTCTCTATAAGGAAACCAAAGCCTGGATAGGCTGAATTATATTCCAGGAAGGCACAGCTCAAACCCGGGAATGCATGAGGGGCCCGGGCCGCCCGCTCTCTCAAGCCCAACCCTAAAGAGCCTGCTCCACCATATACATTTCTGGTCACAAACCAGCGCGGCTCAAGAACGGCTCAAGTTCTCCAGCGCGGCTGGAGAACTAGGGCTCTGCCAAACACAGAAGGCACATGATTAGGCCTCAGGGTCACCGCCAGAATTCAGCGAAGTCTTCTGCTGTTTCTCCCTGTCCAGCCCCCTTCAGTGCTCACAGCCCACCGATCAGGAGGCTGGGCAATGGTTCGGGGCTGCACTTCCTCTGGCACGGGTCCACTCTGAGAGGCCCACGGTCAAGGGCCCGCCATCAATCACCGTGCGCTCACTCACTAGCTTCCCTCTGCTCTCTGATGGACGTAGGGTCGGACACCATCCATCCAGATGAGCTAGCTGCCTACCCTTTCCGAAAATTCTAGTTTCTTACACAGTTTGAGAATTCCGTGAGAGCATTTACGATCCTTAAGTTGGCAGAGCTCATGTAGCCCTTGGCCTAGGAACCCCTGCCTATGGTGGATTTCCTTCGAAGCTTAGGGACTCCGTTCCAAACGCGTGGAGGCGTGGCGTGGGCTGGCTCCCCTCTCCCGGAGGCAGGTGCAGGCAAACTACGATTGTGGCCCTTGTACACTTGCGACTCGAGTGTTCCCGGAGCACGGCCACGCTCACTCACTCGGTATCGTCTCGGGCCGCGCGTGCGCCCGCCGACCGGGCACGGCAGGCGTGACGGAGCCCGCAGGGCCCGCAACACCCAACCTAGCCGGCGGCCAGCATTCCAGAGGAAGCTCGCCGACCCCTCTTCTACACACCGGTCTGCCAGTGCCACACACTTGAGGACGAACACACTGGTGTGTGCACGCTGTCCCCCGAAGCCTTCGGGTAGCTTGGTGGCGGGAACGCAGGAGGAACAGGAGAAAATCCCTCCCGCTGCACCAAAATTACACACCTGCTCTCTCTGCACCACGCCGCCGCGTCCGCGCCCCTCCCCCGCCCGGCTTCCCCCAGCACAGCAGCGTCCGGCTCCCGCCCTGGCGTCCTACCTGTCCAGTGCTAGCTGGAGGCTGCACTTGGGTTATCGGGTATTGTGTTGGCACAGGGGGCACTCCAGTAGGTAATGCTGGCAAGACTCCGGGTGCCAGTGAAACAGCCGGTGGCACTATGCTTGGCACTCCGTAGGGAGGCTGAACTGGCTGCTGAGGAGGGGGAACAACAGGGTAACCAGACTGATAGCCATTGGATGGATAATATGGTGGCTGAGGAGGGACACTACTTATAGCAGAGGGTTGTGTATAGCCTGAGGGGGAAGAAAAAAAGTGTTTAATCAGCTGCAGCAGAATGAGACATTTTAGCTGAATATTAACTTAATCTCTAGGGAAGAAAACTACTGAGGTACGAATGGCTTTTCAAATCACCCTAGGTTCTGAGTGCCCTGGCACGCTTAGTCTAGCCTTAAGTATCTATTCTACACACAGATATCGCTAACAACGCATTTACCTTCGTGAAACACTTTGAGACATACACACCTGGTAAGGGTACAGCAGTATTAATCTGATTCACAAATCTAGAGTATTCAGCATGAACCTGCAAGAGAAGGGAAGACAAATTCATATGGGACAGTCCCAATTTGTGGATTATTTACAAGGGTCTGGTTCTGGGACTAAAGCAGCCGAGGATTAAAATATTTCCACTGGTATCTCAACCTATTTGAGACCTGTTTACTCTAAATTTTAATAAGGCACGGGGCGCCCGGCTAACTCAATGGGTGGAGTGTGTGACGCTCGATCTCAAGGTTGTGAATCTGAGCCCCATGTCGGGTGTAGAGATTATTTAAAATCCCCCAAATGAGACCCAACTCTGAGGTAAAAATCATCCAGAGCCACACAGATACAGAAGGTAGGAAGTTCCTAAGTTGTCAATATAACTAATGAGAAATCATTCATTCTTTTATTTGCTGGACTTGTCCTCAAGGAGCTCAAGGCTCAGCACAGAGCTAGTATGTCCCCCCTCCTCCCCCCCCCATCCAGTTCTTCGTTCTGGGCACCCCACTGAGTCGCCGCACGCAGCAACGAGACAAAGCCAGGGGGTGATCAGGGCAGTTGTGTGATACAAAGGATGGTAAATCAGGTTACTTTGCAGAAGCAAAGCAAACAGCTTCCCAAAAGTTTGGAACCCTTACGTATCAAATAACACAACGCTGAACAGTCAACCCCAAACCTGGTTTCCATCAGGTGCTACGCAAAGAGGCCTCCCGGTTTAACTTTTGGTTACTAGACTACAGAATAAAAAGAATACTCAAATAAGCAATTAGGCCAAAGCACTGCCGATTGGTTTTAAACCATCGTAGTTCCACCTTCCTCCCTTATTTAGCCAAACTTACTGTTGAAAAGAACTTGGAAGGCCCACAGCAAACAACCTGACCGAGATTAAAAGTATCGACTACTTAAGTAACTGAGGACATTGAGATTTCACACTGAAGGCCTGCACATTTCCAAAACTCCATACTGAAATGCCTCCTAAAGAAGAAAACGCACACCAGCGAGGACATGCTAGGGTAGTTTGACTTCCTTAGAGAGAATGTTAGTGGCCAGAACAGTGTGGTTTAAATGGTGTCCTTTCAAAAGTCACGTCTGCCAAAAACCCCAGAATGTGACCTTATTTGGAAACAAGGTCTTGCAGATACACGCTATTAAGATGAAGTCACACTGGATTCCAGTGGGCCCTAAATCCGAGGACTGCCACCCTTCTGAGAGACAGATGGACAAGGAGAGGCAGGAGTAGGCCAGGTGTCACCGGGACAGAGAACGGAGCTCTGCTGACACCAGGTGAAAATGCAAAGGGCTGCAGGCCGGGGGAGGCGTGGAACATTCTCCCGCACGGTGTTGTTCAGAAAGAGCCAACCCTGCCCATGCTTGGATTCTGCGTGTCTGGCCTCCTGAGCAGTCAGAGAATACGTTTCTGTCACCTAGTCGGTGGCAACTTGTTACTGAAGCCCTCGGAAACCAGTGCAGGTGGGAAGAGGGCTCAGACACAGCCCCACACAGCAGTTCTCTGCATATCAGACAATCGAACAGAACTCACTGTTTGCAAGAGATTCTCACAGAGCTTCTTGGCAGCAGCCAGGCCTTCTGGTTTGGGATGGCTGCAAAGAAAGAAGACCCAGAAAATTCAAAGAGGAGAAAAGTAAAAGATACAGAATCGTGTTTCACTTCGTATACTGTTTATAAGTTTAATTCATTTAATGCAGCACAAATCTAACTTTCTGAAAATCACAAAATAACGTAATAGAAGCCCTGTAAGATATAACCAGTATCATCGAGACATACGCTTTTTGGTCTCTCTGAGTTATAGTACTTCTTGACATAAGACTTTTAAAAGCCACTAAAATCACTATAAAGCACACGAATACTGTCGTAGGTTTAAAAAAAGGTTACTTTAGGCTCATCAGAGCTACTTTAGGGTCAGAGATCGTATAAAACCCAAGAACCTGAATACTAAAAAAGGCAATTCCACCTCCTATTTCAATCATTCTTACTAAGTAACTACAAATTGATTATTTCTAGTACTGACCTAAGTCCCTCATGTTAAGGTTTATTAAACCTATTTTCTTACACCTTCTGAATTATCCCTGCCTGTACTGATCTGGTGACAAGCATTCAAATGTCCTCAGCCCCACCCATCCACACGTACCTAATGTAAATATACATAGGCTCAAAAGCTTCTCGGCCAGATGCTGGCTCAATGCAACCCGAACCTTTGCCTCTTAGGAAGACTTTGGCACCTGTTTCAATCTGAATGTGCTGCAAATAGGAGCAGCCTGGACCTTCCACTTTCTCCTTGACATTGAAAGTGGGCACAGCATGCTCTAGACCCACAAATAATTTATCTTGAACATAATGCATCTGTGGAAGAACAGAACACCTCAGATTAAACATGACACATAATTAAATCCAAATCTTGAAAATGATTATGCGCAAGACTTTAATCCTCCAGATACCTTTAATCACTGTTAGAACAAGGACTCCAAATAATTTCTACCATGAGCCTATAAAAATAAACTTTACAAAGCAGCTTAAATTCTTTTTTTTTTTTAACGTTTATTTTGAAAAGGAGGGAGAGAGTGCGTGTGCACACGAGTGCGTAAGCAGGGGAGAGGGCAGAGATAAAGGGAGAGAGAATCCCAAGCAGGCTCTGCGCTGTCAGTATGGAGTCTGACGTGGGGCTCGATCCCACAAACCCTGAGATCATGACCTGAGCCAAGGTCAAGCGTCAGATGCTTAACCGACTGAGCCCCCCAGGCGCCCCTATAGTAACTTAATTTAAATGAGATCTGCCTATGCCACGCACCTACCTAGAACATTAACACCTTCCTCAGTTCAGCAAAACAGGCATAAAGCAAAGACTCGCGGCTCAGGAAGCACGCCCACGGCCCAGGCCACCGCAAGGCAGGGAGAGCCCGGTGCGGTCTCCCGGGACGCGATAGTGGCGTGTCGGGTCGTGCAGTCAGCCCCGTGGTGTCCTCCAGTGAGGGCTGCTCTCGCCCACCCTGTTCTCTAGGAGGATTGTATCAGCAGAGTCTTGCTTCACCAGACTCAGCCTTCTTAGTCCTCCAGCTGCTGTCACATTTACAGACACAGAACCAAACCACTAACTTCACAGCGAACGGTGTGCCCTCGACTGCGTCACCGCCCTTTCCAAAGGGCGCGTCACCAGGCCAGCACTAGCAGGGAACTCTCAGGTCAGAATTTCAGGATTTTCTATGTTCTTCTCGTCTCCCGTTTTCTGTGGCCTATGTCAATTTTACAGAAATGGCAAAGCTGTTAGGGGATCTCTCCACCAAACATACCCCTGACTGGAAGGGAGGCTTCTGGCTAACAGCTGGGGACAGCTGTGCAATGGGCGCCGGCTGGTGATAGACAGTGACTGTTGCACCATTAAACGTTGGACTCGTCCCCGTGGCGGCTTTGACCACCCCATTGGTGATGATCTCTTTGATTCGGTTTACAGCTCCTGTGGAAAAACAGGGTGAGATGTTATACCAATGGGATGAACGCACGGACTACCAGCTCGTGACAAAGGTCAACGCTCAGGTGCCCATGTACTAATCCGTTTTAGAGGATCCCCAAGTATGAGGTTCTCAGCCTCTCTAAACCCCCAGCCCATTCGTAAGCGGTTCATACACACGAGTTAGCACAGCCCGGGAACATTCTGCCAACTTGTTACTTAGAGCCCTATACTTTGCCCTTCACAAAAAGCAGATGTGAGCCCAACCGTTACTTACTGTCCACTAATTCCCGTGTCTGGCCCTGAACATGAAGGTATAACGGACGATCCCTATAAAGAGAAATACAAAATGATGATCCCAAACTGGTCATAACCAAAGGAACCAAATGGGTCTCCGAATTTGTAACGTTTATACTTTCCAAGTAAGGCAAAGGCACTATATTCACAGAAATGACTGTTGCTAATTTTTAAGAACGTGGTTTAAAGCTGAGGCTAAATAAACTTTTCTGGTTGCTTCACGTTAGCCAGCCCACACAGGATCAAATCTGTTCATGTGGGCTCCTGAATACGGGGATCTAGTCAACCGAGATAACCGGATGTTTGAGAAAATTCCTTTTTGTTGGCTAACAGGTTACGTGCAGACATGCTCTTGTCTATCCAAATGACCGGGGTGACAGTGACAGGAGCGCACAGACCCATGGCTGTGAGGCCCGCAACCAAAGCAACTCTCGACTCTAAACGTAAAGTGGCTTAGATTCAGATTTTGACTGTAATCACAGAGAAGATCTTCGATAACCATACAGTTCATAACAAGCTGTCAGCAAAAAAGAGCTGTGTCTAAAGACAAAAAAGTTCAAAACAGCAACCGGCGTGCACACAGTTGCAATATACTGTCTCAGGTGGGGAGCAAGTTTTGCTTCCTAATTATATTTGGTTTGGGCCAACGTGAAAAATGTTGCACTGCCTGAGTACCCGCCCCCAAACACCGGGTAATGGGAGAGACGAACTAAAGGGGACGAGATGTTTACATAGATAATCCAGCCACCCTGGACACAGCAAGGAGTCGGACAAAAGGATGTTTTTTAGACAGAGATCACAACAAAACACGCGCCCTTTTGTTGGGGGAAACATTCCCACACAGAAATTTAGAAGCGTGTCCGTTAAATGTTAGCAATTGTCTCATCTTACACTTTCCCGTAACATGTTTCCTCTAAGAAAACGTTACCCGTGAAATGAAAAATCAAAGAGCAGCAGGAAGGTCGAGAGCTGCCGACCCTCCTTACGCACGTCTGAGACGTCCCCAAGTTCTACTACAAAGCATGCGTGTACGTCTAGCAAGCTGCTGACCAAATATTCACACCTATTTCCTCAGAATGAAACACACACTAACGCGAACCCGTGTCCAATCTTTTCCCAAAGCAGAGGAAGTGCATACACACCCTGGCCCCACTTTGGCCTTCTCCTCGCTTGTCATGAATCTCCCTCGAGTTGACACCGCGGCCCCACTAAGTCGGCTGATCTGAAAAGGAAACATTCTATTAAAAGGATGATGTGGCAGTTGACCGACTTCGATGACAGGCAGCGGGATGGATTCTCCCCATGCGTTCATTCCACCAACAGACAGGAATGACGTCTGTACAGGAATTCCTCCCGTATCGGAAATCGCTTCCTGCTCAAGCTGACCCAGGGAGTCCCCCCATATCGGCTCCTTCACCTTCACTAGAAAGTCCCTCTGCAGTTAATTCAACCCAACCCTGACTTTGGAGATTATGACCCAAACCCGCTAATCAATATCTGACTCCGCTCTCCGCGTTCACAAGACCATGCCCAGCCACCGCCGTCCCCAGAGGCCCCACAGCTCCCCACCTCATCCTGAGTCTGCCCTCGAGTCAACAGGTTCCTGCACGTGAGAGGCACGTCATTGATCTCGACTTCAGCCACCACCAGGTCGTCCTTGCTTTTACTGCTAGTTAGGCCTTTGCCAGCAGCCTGAAGCTACCAAGAAAGAGTAATTAGATCAAAAAGACTGTAAGATGAAATAGTATCTTTCTGCTGTCCAATTTACAACCGGCCCTTCCCAAGTCCCACCACCACCTTACCGTTCCCCAAACCTGCCTGCAAACACACTTTGGAAACACGCCTGGGTCGTTCTGCAAAAATGACATAACGAGCAAACAAAACCTCACTGAACTGACACCGAGTATTGTCAACTGACTTGAAGGCAACCCTCAGGTCTCTCTGTAACCTCAGCCACGCGTGCGTTTCTGCGATCACATGATCCCAGAAACCCTACGCTGCCATCTGCACGGGGAAAATCACAAGACCAAGTTATGGTGCTTTGCACCTCAACCAGCTAGCCGTACGTGCAGTCAAATGCAGGGCAGGGGTGCCTGGGTGGCTCAGTCGGGTGGGCGTCTGACTTCGACTCAGGTCGTGATCTCCCGGTTTGTGGGTTCGAGCCCCACGTTGGGCTCTGTGCTGGCAGCCGGGAGCCTGGAGCCTGCTTCGGATTCTGTGTCCCCCTCTCTCTGCTCCTCCCCCACTTGTGCTCTGTCTCTCAAAAATAAATAAATTTAAAAACTAAGTTAAAAAAAAAAATACAGGGCAGAGTCCAGCAACCCATGCACCTCACCTGTGTAACCGGACGCTGCCTTTGTGCCACCGCTGCGGCCATGGCACCTTACATTCACCTAATCCCATCCTTGCAGTGACCTGGAACACCCGTCAGTTCTACCTGACAACCCATTACTTTCTACTAAAGAACTAAGAGAATGGATGAAAAGTCAAGCAAAATCCTAAAATCTGATCTGGCTTCTTTCAACTTCAACTGTAGGCAACTCCAGATAACTGGATTGGAGTTACTCAAGAAAAATTTCATCCCAAGATGGCCTTCCCCAACCTTTTCTTGCCTTGGACCAATGTCCCACAAATCTGCTCCAGGAAGATAAAAATACAGTTTACTTCCTTATGCATTAGATACATTTTAAATATTTTTTTAACGTTTATTTATTTTTAAGAAAGAGAGAGTGAGCATGAGCAGGGGAGGGGCAGAGAGAGAGGGAGACGCAGAGCCCTATGCGGGGGCTCGAACCCACGAACCGCAAGATCATGACCTGAGCCGAAGTCGGTTGCTTAAGCCACTGAGCCACCCAAACGCCCCTGCATCAGACACGTTTTTAAATCACGGACACAAACTAGATTCAGCAACATCTCATCTTTGTTCAGCCCCCCACTCAGCACGCTGGCTCAAGCACACCTCACCTCCCTGAACCCCGGGGCCACCTTCAAAGGTGCGGGCAGTGCCGTCCAGCAGTGGGAGCTACCTGGCAGTCCAACGTGGGCGCCGTCAGCCTCGTGTCCAAGTGCCCTGCCGAGGAACTCCACTTTAAATTTTACTTTTCACTCAAATGTTAATGTAAATAGCTACAGGAGGCAGCAGCCACTGTCGGGGACCACCCAGGTACATGTCACCAACCCCATCAGATGAGGAAAACTGGGGCTCCACGACATATCTAAGGCCAAGAACCGAGGACCCTGGGTTTCCCATCTAGATATTCTGATTGCAAATCCACTATTTGTGCACTGTGCTGCCGCCTGCTGAGCTCAAAAGCTTTTTAGAGAAAAAAAAAAAAGTGATTCACATCAGTATTAAGAATTTTATTACTCAAGAAGCACTCCATGATCACCAGCGTGTTATAGCTCCTTGTAAAACTTACAAACGGACAACAGACTCAATCTTTGCAAACCATCAAAATACAATGAATAACGAACTTCCAATTCACTAGAAGTTCCCACCAATTCTGCCGAGCTTGAATACTTAAACATCCAGACACATTATGGCCTGTTGATATCATACTCATACACAGGACAGCTAACAAAAAATCGTATTTTCCTTTCTCCCCCAGCTTTATTGAGGTATAACTGACAAACAAAAATTGTGTACATACACTGAAGGTGAACTGGATATTTTGATATACGGTTACATTGTGAAATAATCACAACGTGTTAATTGTAATTAACACAGTCGCTGCTCACCTAAATTGCAAACACAGAACTCATTTCTTCACAGGTACTATGGAAGTCAGCTTTATTTTTTTATTAATTTTTTAAATGTTTATTTATTTTTGAGAAAGAGAGACAGAGCATGAGCAGAGGAGGAGCAGAGCAAGAGGAAGTCACAGAATCGGAAGTAGGCTCCAGGCTCTGAGCTGTCAGCAGAGAGCCCGACGTGGGGCTTGAACCCACGAACCATGAGATCATGACCTGAGCCGAAGTTGGATCATGACCTCAATTGACTGAGCCACCCAGGCGCCCCCGGAAGAACTTTTTTTTTCAAATGAGAATTATAATGGAGCAAGCAGCCTTGGAACACACTGAATTCTCCAACTCCAGAGGCTTTCAAGCAAAAGCTAAACACCCAGTTGTCCGAGGAGACTCTGAAGTCACACGTGTGCCAACCATGACAGATCTTACACAATTACACAACTTGACATTCACACGCACGCCCAATTTCCATCCTCTGTAAACTGGAGACAGTAATCCATCCCTTAAAATTATAAGGATTTCTTTTAAGTGCAAAGCATGCATTCTAGCACTACAAACAGCCACTATACGCATCGTCCTGTAGAAGATTCTGGTTTCCTATTACAGGATAAGTTAAAGACTTCAAAGTTCAGATCCAGTCTAGTGATGAGATTTTAGTTATACCACAAATTCTATAAAACGACCAAATTCTATAAAATGACCAATTTGTATGAAAACAGCAAACCAACCAACATATAAACTGTTCATTTTATTTCATGCTTAATTACACTGTAGACGTTCATTAGATTCTAATTATAAAGGACATTTTATAAACGTATTTTTGAGCAGAGTTGACTAGAGACATTTTAAAGCTCACTGATTTACCTGGACTTTCTCATGTGACTTCAGGGAAAATGCACATGTGGTGAAAACTATACTACATCGTTGCTTTAAATGATTATGTAGATAGCAGGCCGAACTAAGAACAAAGACAAAATGAGCTATTTGATCCGTAAATGTAGTCAAACCAACCAAAGCTGCCTCGTAAAAACAAATGACAAAATATCACCTGATATGTTCCAAAACTAAGTGATCCTTAAATTACTGGGTCCCGGTTTTCTCCTCTACACACAGGATTCTTGGACCGCACAATTACAAAACAACCTGTATTAACATCGCAATTAGCAGAGTCCCTTCAACTTCAAATACCTTCTCGGCGGCATTCTGCGTTGGTTTCAGCTTCCCTTTGGCCATGAGCATGGCATTGATCTTGGCAGCCACAGCAGCAGCAGCATCCAAGGCTCCAGAGGGAGCAGCTGTGGAGCCCCCAGGGCTTCCCCCACTGCTGGTAACCTCCCCACCTGGGGCCGTCGGCGGGAGGAAGAGAAGGGGGGCTGGCGCTGGTTGGTCCCATTTGCTGCGGCGCCTACCGGGAAAAAGAGGAAAATATTGGGCCCCAAAGCTTTATTCGTGTTATTCTTCCCCTTACTACGCTTTAGCACCCCATTTGCCGTCTATCGTGTCCTCTTTACACCCTCAAGTCTCTTATCAATATTAAAATGACCACCTCTCTTTATACAATTACTGCAGTATTTCCTCACTAATTTCGACCCTACTCCAGAATCTACTTCTTTTCTA